CTACTAATAAGAACACATCGGAAAAATTCTACCTATGCAGCTTGTACCTTCCCCCTCCTGTACAAAATGAAATGTTGACAAATTTTCTGCAAAAAGCAACACACGTGTTGGAAAATTATAGCAAGGTACTTATTGCTGGTGATTTTAATTTAGGCACTATAAAGTGGTCTTCCTCTAATAATCAATTCCCAGGTAGCCTAAACACAAATACACTGCAGGATTTTATAGCTTTACACAACCTTAAACAGCACAATTTAAATCCAAATAATATGAACAGGATATTAGATTTAATACTATCAAATATGCGTGAGGTGGAGGTAACACAAAGTACATACACACTTAGCAACATAGATCCCTACCACCCTCCTCTCGAATTTTTTCTTGATTTTAGTCAACCCGAGACACTTTCCCCTGCTCGCACTGAAAAGTTCAACTTTCACAAGGCTGATTATACAGCACTTTCAAGAAAATTAGATGCAACAGACTGGGCTTCCGTACTATCCAAGTGTACCACAGTAGACTCCATGACTACAATATTTTACAAATTATTGCGGGAAGCCATAATGGAAGTTGTTCCAAAATCCATCCCAAAATCAAATAAATATCCCGTCTGGTACACCAATAGTCTTAGGCGTCTCTTAAAGGAAAAACTCAAATACAGGAAGCTATACAAAAACTATAAAAACCCCTTGGATTACATAACGCTACAGACTCTGAAAAAAAGATGTATAACCTGCATTAATAATTGTTACCGCAACTATATAAAGACTATTGAGAACTCAATATCTCGTAATGCGAAGACCTTTTGGACTTTTATTAAACATAAAAGAAGAAATCACTGCTCATACCCAGCAATCATGCACTTTAATAATGAAAGCGCTAGCAACGGTCAAGATATTTGTAATCTTTTTGCCAAATACTTTGCATCAGTCTATACCCTAAGCCCAAGCACGACGAATATCTCAACAAGTGATAACTCCGCTCAAATACTCCATAACATAACGCTTACAAAACAAATGGTTTTGAAAGCGCTAAAAACCCTCGATTGCAGCAAGGGAGCAGGTCCGGATGGCATACCGCCCATATTAGCTTCTAAATGTTCAACAGCTCTAACTACTCCCCTCACTATTATTTTTAATGAGTCCCTACAAACTGGAACATTTCCACACTTGTGGAAAGAATCCCTGGTTGTTCCTATTCACAAATCCAGTGACGAATCACAAATTGGAAACTACCGACCAATCTCAATTCTTTCAGTTTTTGCTAAGCTGTTTGAGTCTCTCATACGCCCTTTTATTACTTCACACCTTAAGCAGTTAATTTCTCCCCACCAACATGGCTTCTTCAAAGCTAGATCAACAACGACAAATCTTATGTCATTCGTCTCGAGCATTGCTAAACACTTAGATAACAGGACATCAGTGGATGCTATATATACCGACATTAGCAAAGCTTTCGACAAAGTTAATCACTCGATCCTAATCAACAAGTTATCGACATATGGACTGTCAGGGAACATACTGAAATGGATTGATTCCTACCTAAAACAGAGATGGTCAAGAGTGGTAATGGGTGGTTACACTTCCGACCGGTTTCCTGCAACATCCGGGGTACCGCAAGGCTCCCATCTAGCTCCGATTTTGTTTACTGTGTTTATTGATGATATCACACAATACCTCAAACACACAGACTGTTTTTTGTTTGCAGACGACTTAAAAATATCTAGGCCTATTAAATCTGTGGAGGATATAGAATTTATTCAAGAAGATTTAAATAATCTACACAAATGGTGTACCCACAATGACATGAATTTAAATATTGATAAATGCAAATGTATAAGATTCACCCGAAGCAACTTGAAATCGCCTTTGTCCTACAAAATAAATGGAGCAGAGTTAGAGGAGGTTGAGGTGATCCGGGATCTTGGGGTATACATAGACAAAAAATTAAAGTTTCATAAGCATATTGACAAAATCACTAAAAAAGGATTTAAAATGCTAGGTTTCGTAATACGTAACAGCAAATGTTTCAAAAAACCGTCCACCAAAAAAGCACTATTTAAAACCTTAGTTCGATCAGGTCTTGAGTATTGTAGTCAGATATGGTCGCCCCACTATGAAATTCACATAAAGCGCTTAGAATCTGTACAAAAAAGGTTTATGTGGCATCTTACTTACCAATGCAATGAGGCTAAACGTTTAAATTCATATTCCATGCGTTTGAAACATTTTAACATGAACAGCCTGCAAGACCGTAGATTATTTCTGGATCAAATGTTCCTATACAAATTGATAAACGGTTATATTGACTCTCCTGATCTTTTGCATAAAATAAAAATCAATGCTCCAAATAGATTACCCAGATCTCGCACTTATGTTCCGTTCTGTCAAACTTCGTCAAAAAGCAACTTAGGATTATTCACCTCAATTAACCGACTAGGCAAGCAATATAACGTTTTAGTCAAGAAAAACAACAATATTGATATCTTTTCAGATAAATACTCCACTTTTCGCTGTAACATCTTGTCATCATTCACTACGGATTAATTGTTGAGCCTCGTCCTTGACTTTTATTTCCTTGAGATTTATAGTTTTATTTTTTGTTTTATTTTCTGTCAGCATTTTTTTGTTTTGTTTTTTTTTTAACTTTACATTTTCTTCTTTGCATATAAAAAACCTATAATAAGTAACATAGATCCGACCACATATTATGCATGCTGTGGCAACCTATAATTAAGTCTACACTTAGCATAAGATTTAAGATATTATAAGAACATTGTAACTAGTGTAAGATTTGTTGGTTGTCCTAAATAAATAAATAAATAAATAAAATAAATAAATTTTTTATAAAAAAACGTTGTTTTTTTCCTGTGTTGTGGGTGCGTTTACAAACATACAATGTCATATACACATGACACCCAGACCCGAAACAACAATTTGTGGATCACACAAAGTGTTGTTCCGTGCGGGAATCGAATTCGCGACACGTTGCACGGCAGCCGCACCAATGGTGCAGTCAAATATACAGTCTTTTGCATTATAACTCGATGTAAATCAACCCTTAGCAAGTCAAGTTTGTAATGTTGATATCCCAGGGTAAATGAATTGAGTATAATTAATAATCTGTCGATACCAGCCGCTTGTTTATTAGTGTATACAACTCGGCCCACGTAATCAAGTGTTGTAACTTCATTCAACACGTCATTATGATTTTGGTTTTCAATTATAAAGCTTGGTCGGAAAAAAGATCTTTTTTTATGGTATAAGTCGGCAAACGAACAGACAGATTACCTGATGGTAAGCAATTAGCGCCGCCCATGGACATCCGCAACACCAAAGGAGTTTACAAGTGCGTTGCCGTCCTTTTAGGGATATGGGTTTCAGATATCACAAAAAGAGCCAAGCTTCGGCACGAATGGGTCGGCTCGACCGGAGTGATACCACGGCCTCACAGAATACCGGCGTGAAACAACCCACAGCGTTACGTTTCGCCGTGTAAGTGAGGTTACCGGAGGCCCAATCCCTCCCCTTCCCCTATCCCTTCCCAATCCTTATATCCGCAACCCCTATCCCCAAAAGGCCGGCAACGCACTCGTAACTCCTTTGGTGTTGCGGGTGTCCATGGGCGGCGCCGATTGCTTACCATCAGGTAATGCGTCTGCTCGTTTGCCGACTTATTCCATAAAAAAAAATTGAAAGATTGGGAAGTGATGCGGGGAGGGGTAGGGATTGGTTCTCCGGTAACCTTACTAACACGGAAACACAACGCTGTGTTTGTTTCACGCCGGTTTTCTGCGGCAAATGGAAATAGTACAAGTACGTTGCTACCCTTTTGGGTGTTAGGAGTTTGAGCATGCGAAATTTGGCGATTAGGGAATGGGGATAACAGTCGAAACACAACACAAGTCCTGTTTTTCGCCAGTTCTCAGTCAGGAGAAGAGTCTTTTTATATGGGGGAGAATCATTTATGTCTTCCCAAGCTGAAAGCAACCGACTAAAAGCCACCCGTTCTTTCTGCTGCTGGTAAGTTATTGGCTTGACATCGGCTCCAGGAGCCCCATCTATGGTGGTCTTGATTTGCAACCCCGCAACCCCGGATTGATATCAGCTCCAGGGAGACCCAAGTGTAGTCGTTTTTTAAAAAAAACTTTGCCTCGCACTAGGGTTTTCTCTTGTGTCGTGGGGCAGTTACAAACAAACAATTTAACATACACATCACACCCAGACCCGGAAAACAATTTATGGATCACAAAAAGAGTTGTTCCGTGCGGGAATCAAAGTCAAAGTCAAAGACAAAATCATTTATTCCAACTAAACCATAAATAGGTACTTTTGAAACGTCAAAATAGAATAGTAAGTAGTCTGTCAGTCTGTTCGTCAGTGAAGCTAGATGCTCGTTCCAAATTGTAGATTCGTATAGAGAAGAACGAACAAGAAACTACATGGTTACTCTTTTAAAAAAAGTCAATTGTTTAAATAATATAACAATTTAGTATAGATTCTTGTACGCCTATATGAGAACAATGCAGAGACAAGTTCTAAAAAAAGAACAAATGATGGGAATCGAACCAAGTTTCCCAATCGCCGCGCCAACCTTGCAGTCAAGTCGTGGTCTGATGACCATTTTGGTCTGGTTCTGACCAGGTCCCGAGCTATCTTAGCTCTCTTCCTCAGCTTTATGGATTTCCATATAGCTGAGGAGTTAAATATTTCATAAAATATTCAATCCTCTATAACTGATTTAAAAGATTTAATTTTTCCTTCGTTTGACCAATTCTGAATATCGAATAAAATATTCGTGACGCCGACGATTTCGATTTGACATTAATAAAATTACTAGTTATCAACGTCGTGCTTCGAAGCGACGCCATACTTGTTCAGATCGAAGGACCACTAAATGAGAAAATTGTGAAGTACTTTATAAATGGGGGGATGTTTTCTAAATATTAGGTTAGACTCAGTATTTTTATGTAAGTGTGGGAGAGCCAAGCTTCGGCAAGAATGGGTCGGCTCGACCGGAGTGATACCACGGCCTCACAGAATACCGGCGTGAAACAACCCACAGCGTTGTGTTTCGCCGTGTGAGTGAGGTTACCGGAGGCCCAATCCTTCCCCTCCCCTGATCCCTCCGAATTCCTAAATCTCCAAAACCCTAATCCCTAAATGGTCCGCAACGCACTCGTAACTTCTCCGTTGCGGGTGTCCATGGGCGGCGCCGATTGCTTACCATCAGGTAATCCGTCTGCTCGTTTGACGAATTATACCATAAAAAAAATGTGATAGGCCAGCAAACGAGCAGACGGATTGCCTGATGGCCAGCAATCAGCTCCACCCATGGGCACCCGCAACAACGGAAGAGTTACGAGTATCTTGTTGACCGAGGGAAAGGATTAGGTAAGCCCCGTAACGTTACTTACACAATGTAATGTAAAATAGATTGTATTATTGTAAATATTTAAATGTAACATGTTATTTCCTCTATAAAAAAAAACTATAGTTATGTGGTTAGTTGTGGTATGTAAAATACGTTTTATTAAAATATGTAATTTTAGTATTTTTTTACTGGATATTGTTTGACAAGGGCACGGACCCCGAGTACGTTGAGATTGAAAATCATCAATATTAAAAAAAAACGTCACTCACACAAACACAACGCTGTGGTGGTTTCACGCCGGTTTTCTGTGAGGCCGTGGTATCACTCCGGCCGAGGAAAAGCCTCTAAACACTTCGAGGTTAAACGAGGTCAAACCCGGTCAAAATATAACCGTCATAATTACCAGTCTTATACAAAAACTAGGTTGTCCAACGAAGCCGTAGAAGTAAAGAAAATGGATATACTAAGCGCTCAAGTTACAAGGTATACGTATGTTGAGCGCAGTCGACCGTCTCAGATCTCGTTATTTACACGGATTGTGCCTTATTAAAATGCGGCCTCGCGCAGATTTGTACCGCGCTGAATATTTAAGAGGCTCATCCAGTACTTACTCTGCATCTGTGATCGGTGACTTTTATTTTAGGTGTATTGGAGCTGAAATGAATTTAATGTTTTTCAGTTTTCTTCGATTTTCATTTAAGAGTATATCTTTACGTTACCTGTACTTATAATAAAGAATAATTAATTTTCTCATATTAAATGAGAAAGTCGTTATTTTCAATTTCAACTAATATTATAACTGCCAAAGTAACTGTCTTTCTGTCTGTCTTTTCTTCACGCCTAAACTAATGAACTGATTTCTGTGACATTTGGTAGAGACATAGTTTGGAACTCGAAAGAAGACATAGGAAAACAGTTTTTAAACCAAAACTCTGCAGGAAGTCACTATTCCACGCGAACGGAGTCGCGGGCAAAAGCTAGTTTAAGAATATATCGGATAAAATAGAATATACGGAATAATGGGTTTTTTCATTTAATTTACGTGAGAAAGTCGTTATTTTGGATAAATCTAATAATTTGTCTCACGGTGCTACTTAACGATTCAAAGAACTAGATTCTTATGAGTTCAGTAATATCTCTATCACCCTATCAAGGATACGCAAAGCCAAAAAGTACGGCAGAAACCCAACAGTGTGAGCCTTGGTCAATTTAGAAAATAGCTGTAAGATATGAACACAAGCACTTAAAAAACACAAAAACTCCTTTTTCAAGAACAATGACCAGTTGAATCGCCTTAAGCAATCAGGGTAGCCGCAACTCAAAAAAGCAACAACTACGTTACCAACCTTTGGGGGGAAAGGTCTTACGTAAAAATACCTTTCGACCATCGTACCAACAGACAATTGGCAAGACGTCATGACTTCACGGTGAGTATCCCACCCACATTCATGAAGTGGTTCGCCTTTATATTGTAAGGGGAAAATCATCAAATGACTTCTCCCGCCCAGGGCAAGGCGAGAGAGAGTGTCTGACTCTTACTGACTAAACCCCCCCCTGTTCCTCCTCCTGCACTGGGTCGAGGCCGCTGTGACTCATTGCGCTTATAGGGCTTATATATTTAGCAATATAGGGCCCCGTCTGTGGTGGTCTATTGGGTCTTTGAGGCGCGCGCGGTACGCTACGCGTCGTACGCTCGGGTCTGGTTCTGGTCGGGCGGCGAGTTGCCCTTACTCGCCGTCTGCAGACCCGCGCTTACGGTGGCCGGAGACCATGTCTCAACGAAGTGGTTCGCCCAAAGTTTTAATATCAGAACCGCTAAGGAATTTTTTGCCGGAATCTTTGTTTCTCGAAGGGTATGGATAAATGGATGATGGTCTTTAAAGCCAGAGTGAACTGGTTGCTTATGGGTAGACGTGTACGTTCCATTCCCTTGTAGTTCGCATAATCGCTTACTATCAGACGTGACAGCGGCCAAATGCCCATTACGAATTAAAGAAAAAAAATACACCATGTCACAGGGACTTTGCTCCAACTAATCCACGTATTAATATAAGCCATCATAAAATTACGGGGTCGCCCTTCTGTGACCTACTTAATTTGTACCGAAGGCCCATTTTATTACGATGTAAGCCAAACTGCCCCCATTCGAAGACAGCCATTATTCTTCGAATAATAAAACTCACCATTGTATAGTAATCTCATTTATTATTATTACATTAGCTTTCGAGTAAGATTACTAAAAGTTACCACCGTTCCTCTTGTCCTGGGTATGCTGCACCCGAATTGAAGGGTTTATAAATTTGACAGAGGCTGAATAACGGCACTTTCTGCTTTATCTGACCTCTTCTCTCAAAGTGTGATCTCAAACCAGGTTACCAAGTTTAGATTTTACCACGATCCTTAGAAAGTGATCTATAGTAGGCATGGTGGGTAAGTCATCAATGGGGCCCGAGTCTACTATTTTCAAAGTGTTGTCATTCCTACACGATTCCATTGTCATTTTGCTAAAACTTCGTAATCTGTTAATTCAAAATGGCTGATCATTGGCGTTCGGTGATGTCGTAATAGAATTATAGTACAAGATGTCTTGTAACGAATTATAAACAATAACTGCACATTAATATTCTTAACGTAAAATATCATTGAATAAAGTAACTGTTCTTTTTTTATTAATTTACCGCATTATGTCAAACATAAAATAATATAAATATTCATTTGTCATTATGTACGACATTACCGGTCTAAAGAATTATTTCAATGAAGTGGCATTGGAAAGTCATAATGACGCTATCGTGTTAGTAGATTACCAAACTTGTCAAAATCAACAATTTTGAAACCAATGATCTACTATTCTGACACTATTGTAATAGCAGACTTGAAGCCCAGATCAGTAGTCAACTTCTGGATGCTGCTTTATTTATAATAAACTAGCTAATCTCGCGCTGTTTCACCCGCTGCTCGGCTCCATTTAATCGTATGATGCTTTATAGCACTCAGGAACATTGTAGCTATCTATCAGTGAAAGAATTTTGGAAATCCAATCAGCGGTTCCAAAGATTACCCCCTACATACAAACTTACAAATTTTACTTCTTTATAATATTTGTATAGATAAGGGCTATCACAATGCTTGTCCACGAACGGGACACCTTAATAAAACTCCACTGAACTGCCAAAAGCCCCGATAATATCTATCGATCCGTCATACGTCGCCAGCATATCAAACTACACCAAAACCTCAAATTTCTTTAACACATTATCGTCTTTATCACAAAACAATACAGTTGAGATTCTTTTGAAGAATTTTAACAGTTTTGGTGAACTGTATGTTGGTTGTTTTTACTTTATATTGAGCCTTCTTTGTGCCGATTTTATCGATACGCCTGTCGGTAGTCAATTTTCGACGGCCAGGCTTTTGTTCCAACTCAGACTTTGTTTAGTAAAATACTACCTTTATCGATTATTCAATCTTTTCATGACGTTACAGTGAAGCTCTAGTGAAATACTATAGGTATTTCACTAGAGCTTCACTTTTAAGATATGACGAAAATCATCAAATTTCATCTGTCGAATTACGTGGGGTAAGTCGGACTTCGGAGCGTCAGACTCTTTTTTTTTGTGTCTGGTTCGAAAATCCTCATGGAGACCCATTGACCTCGGGGAAGGGCGAAGGGAACTGTCAGACACTTACTGACTAAAAATTACCTCTTGCAGAAGGCACCAATGACGCGAGCGTCGCGCATATTCGCATATGTCGATGATTTTCGCTTTAAAAAACGAAACGTATGTGAAGATAATTATTTATAGCATCATCAACAAACTATAAGTGCCTACTGATAAGCAAAAATTGGTTATGATTACCTGGAATAAATGTATTGTATGTTTTCTTCTCATACGGAGAAGGTTTGATCACTAACCCCCACGCTTGTTCAAGGCGGATTGGCGATTTCAAACTTATTATAAGAAATTGAAATTATAAGTCCAGGTTTCCTCACGATGTTTACCTTCACCGAATGTCAGTGGTGTCTAAATAATCATAGAAAGTACATATAACTCGGATATAGTCACATTGGTACATGCCAGGTTTCGACCCCTCATGCATGAAAAACGGGCTCCTTAACCTCCGGGGCACCACTACACTTGTGTAAAAATGCAATAAAGAATTAAATAAAACAAATTAATGCTCTTCGTGTCACGATTACAACGAACACTCAACATCCATTACAGTCACAACCACACATTTGGGCTCACAGATTTGGTGGGTTTAAATTCATCATCATCATAATCAGCCCATAAGTGCCCACTGCTGAGCAAAGGCCTCTTCTCACACGAAGAAGGTTTAACCAGTAATCACCACGCTTGCTCAATGCGGGTTGGCGATTTCAAACTTACAATTAGAAATTATAAGTCTAGGTTTCCTCACGATGTTTACCTTCACCGTATGTCAGTGGTGTCTAAATAATCATAGAAAGTACATATAACTCGGATATAGTTACATTGGTACTTGCCAGGTTTCGAAAACGGGCTCCTTAACCTCCGGGGCACCACCACACTTGTGTAAAAATGGAATAAATAATTAAATAAAACAAATTAAACTCTTCGTGTCACGATTACAACGAACACTCAACATCCATTACAGTCACAACCACACATTTGGGCTCACAGATATCACTCCGACCGGACTACCGGCCCTATCTATCCATATATGTACGAACATATGTATGTAATCCCTTTTAACTCAAAGCTGGTTCCCAAAACTTGGTACTCCACCTATTCCGACCTCATTAAGACAACTAACGACCCACGGATTATTGCTTCTCTCGTAAAAACTTCGCAGCGAACTGTAACTCCCGACAGTTCGGTTACCCCACCCCTTATGGAGGAGGGGTTACGTCGAAATTTTTTGATTGCACACGCCAGCTTCGGAAGTTTTGATCCATGCTTTTAACTGGGGTTTCGCTTTAGGATCGATTTTTTTTAGGTAGAAATTAATTAACTGATGTATTTTATGTATTTTCAACTTTATTACATAGGTAAAAGCTTTCAGCTTGCAGTTTTACTTCGAAATATTTCTCTTGACTGGACAAGGAGCATATTATATAAGCACTTCAGCACTAGGTAGTAACTGGCAACTGCTATGAATATTCATCATTTTGTTAAAGCATGTTATGTAAGATGTCGGTCGCATTTTCCGAGTCTTTACATTTTTAACCGACTACAAAAAATGCAAAATCTAAGCATCATATCGATAGGAAATAATTATTAAGTAGTATAATTATGTAAATTTTAATGTCATAAAAATATTTCCAAATTTCACGCATGCGAATTTGTATAAACTCTGTTTCATCATAAAATTGTATAAACTCGTCCGTTTTTATGACTACCTACTGGGAGATATTAAAAAAAATTAAAATAACCTTATTTTTGTTACTTTTTTTATTTTTCTAATAAAATTTGTTTATGCTATGATATTTTCCTATTACTTTCAAATTTGATTTTAATTGTAAAGACTTGTGATATTACATTAAAAATTGGTACAAGTATCTACATTTGACGTCAATTTTTGATTTATCTGATTCTTAACTTTTTTCTTTTTTATGCAATGTGATGTAAATTAAGTAATTTAATATTATTATATAAGCTAGTAATATCCCTCTTTGCAACGCCTGAAAAACGCCCGTTAAGCTGTGCCTGTCATTTTAAGATCCTTGTACCCACCCTAACATGCAAATAAAGAATTTGAATTTGAAAATAGAACAATAGTCAGACAGAGTCCAGCTAGATGCTCGTTCCTAAGTGTAGATTCGAATGGAAAAGAAAGAGCATGTTTGATCTAAATCAAACATTCTCGCCAGTACAATATTTAGCGCAATATAGAGAATAAGTTAATTCAAAAAATCCCATTTTTAGCCTATGACAAAATTTGACAAAATCTACGCATCTATCGAAGGTTATTGACACTGGTTTTTACGGCCATTAAAAAAAACATCTCCACAACATTTTAAAATTCGAATCTACCGCAAGACGTGTCTTTGGAGCGGCGTTCAACAAACAAAATCATCCATAGTGCTATTTACACCAAACAAAATATTGTAAAGAGTTTTTTTAACAAAAAGGTTTTTTTTCGAAGCTTTGCCGTGTACTTGATAGGCACGTTCGAACGTGTTCCCGAATAGATTGAGTTAACATTAACGTACATTATTTGTTTATCAACGTGTCTTTGTAAACGTCACTGAAGATCCGATGGCGGTTTGAGCAACGATGTCTACCTCGGCGGTGTGACACATCTTAAGTACCTAACCCGTTCTTTACACAATTCACGAAAATGAACGAAATTTGAAGATAACACTTAATTTTATGAGATACTTGCAAAATCTGATGGTAAGCAATCGGAAGCGCTGACAGATACCAGCAGCTTTGAGGAGTCACATCAATTTGAAGATTAAGGGATCTGGGGATTGTGGAAATAGGGGGAATGGTTGTTGGCTTCTGATAACCTCACTCACACAGCGAAGTGACTCTCAGGCTTCCTATCAGGTAGAACTCATAGCAGAACTAGATACTACATACTCCTTTGAGCATTATGCTAAATGTATATTCTCTTTACAGGTGCTAGCAGCTCTAGCGGTTTCCCTGGCGCCCTTCTCAGCGGGGCTTGGTAAGGGGTACAGTTCCCCTGCCATAGCTTCCCTACAAGGGCCAGGAGCTAATGCTACCAGAAGAGACTTCCAGCTGACTGACCAACAGGCTTCTTGGCTTGCTTCATTGTCGTTTCTAGGTAAATGAGACTTTTATCTATAATTTAGTTGGTTTTAAAATGGGGTTTCGCCTTTATTAACACTAAAATGTAAGTAAGTGGTCTTTCATGTGGAGTTAAGAAGAAAATTTTGTGGACTACAGTATTTTACAGCTGTTATAGAAATTGTTTAATTCAAGATCCACAACAGATAGAAAGAGAATTTTCTTCTACAAAATGTCTCAGTAAACAGCAATCGGCGCCACATTTGGACACCTACAACTGTTACAAGTGCGTTGTCGAGCTTTTGGCAGTATAGGATTTAAGGTATGGGCATTAGAAGAGAATTTCGACTCCAAGTATCTATTGATGACTTTATGGGAAGCCTTGGCAACTTAATTGTTCAATCTGTCAATAAACATATTCTATTTATTTTATTTTAAACCTAACTCACACAACGTAAGCCTTCTTTCACGCTAGTTTTCTGTGAGGCCTTAGTATCATTTTGGTCGAGCCTGTCGTGAGGAAGCTTAGCTCTCTCACACCTAAAGACAGCCATCCGGTCAAAGGATATAGTCAAAACACTACGGGATGATAATAATCTGCCACATTCAACTAAGTAAGTTGAAATTGAAGCGACATTAAAAATAATATATTTGCCTTGACATCAGCAATGTGTAGTACCTACATCTCTAGTTCGAAAGGGGATTTAATTAAAATTCTTGGAGTCCGTAAAGGCATGATATATAGGATATGCACTCCGCGTTATTATGACGCCGTGACACACAACTTTATTCATAAATACTGGGACGGAATTTGTGGACTTTCTCATAGAAAGAGACATGAAATTTAAATTAGTTATAATAATGTACCTACAGACAGGAATTTTCGTCAGTCACAATATTTGTTTTTCCAGAAAATTCTTTGGAAGGTAATATAGTATGTAGGTGGTAAACGAGAAAAAGAATTTTGAAAAAAAAAATCCTACAATACATTTTTACAATTTTATCCAGCTTCGGGACTAGTATTGCCCACTATGCAAATCACTTTTGGATCCTAAATTTCATGTTCTACAGGATTCGGAACTTCATCTGTCTCAAAAATTTCAGATGTCAGATGAAATGAAATGATGTCTCTTAATAATGAAATGTCTATCTCTTATTTAATTTTAAAAGTATGAAACTAAATAAAAAATAGGAAAAAAAGAATATCCTACATGATATTCCTTTCATGGCTATAAAGACAAGGACGGAAAAACATGCCATTTAAAAAGCATTTGTTTCTTAAAAGTATCTGAATGAGTGAAAAATATTTCGAAACTGTTGGATTATGACAAGAAACTCAAACAATAAATAGATTAGAAAAGATTATAATTTTGAGTAAAATTTGCACTAATACAGAATACAGAATACATCAAAGAAAAGCAAACCAAAGAGTAACAAAGTTTTTTTTTAACTATTGTCTATGAGAAAGTTTATCAATAGAGTTGTAATAGAAACTGTCAATAACACTATAAATATTTAAAATAACAGAATCATCACTATTACAAAGACCACAATACATAAAAACCATCACGGTCCTTATTTGGTCCTTTCAGGCGCATTGTTTGGTGGCATGGCCGGTGGTGCTGCCATGCGCCATGGACGTCGTCGGGTGCTGTCCTTAGCGGCTGCCCCTTGCAGCCTCTCCTGGTTGCTCACCACCGTGGCTACTTCTGTCAGAATGATGTGCATCACCGCCTTCCTAGGAGGGTTCTGCTGTTCCATCTTGACTATGCTGTCGCAGGTAAGTGTCTAAGTATTATATTGTTTTTTTGTACTTGTATGAAGATGATTTTGTAGTTTTTTTTACAGTTAACTAATACTTTAGTTACATTTTGTGGCCTTTAGACATTTTTTATTCAGTTCTCAGAAGGAAAATATTCTTGTAAGTGGAAGAGGTGTAATCACTTTTGTAACACTATTCTGTAACACACTAACTGTATTTAGGTAATATCGTCACTATGGTAATCGAAATACAAAAATAAATCGTTTATTTTTTATTTTTTAGTTAATTAGAGAGAGAGAAACAGAGAGAGAGCGTGTGGAATTCCCTTCGACATAAGATAAATCTTTTTACTATTTTATGTTCCTAAAATAAATGACCAAATAAGTAGTTACAATCACCCAAACACTTGATTACTTTGTCTAAGAAAACTTCAAACAGATTTAAACATCAAATTATTCACCTGTCAAAATAATTCATTGCAAGTTTAGACAATTATTCGTACAGACATTTCAATTTATTTCCATTACGGTTAACGGAAAACATACCTTCAGTCCTTTGTGTTAGATGGCATATTGTTTTGAAATTTTCGCCTCGAAGGACCAATTTCTTGGCCCGCATGTTTCAGTCAATTAGTAAGTTGACCACGCCTCGAGGCAGATGAAAGACAAAAGCAAATCTCCATTGTACTAAGTTGTTTGACTATGAAGATACTCGACTTTGATCTTTATCTTCTTAGCATTTTATGTAAACTTTTCCTTAATTAAAGTTTTTCATCGAGATGAGGGTCATTTGAAAGATAAGTCCACTAAAATGGATATGACTAAGAGCTTTAAGAAATCAGTTTTGTATGTTTTTTAATTTGCATAAGGCAGAGTCTACAAGACCAAATCCCATTACAAACCTTCAAAAAGTGGCAAGTTTTTTGGGAGGCAGACTTGGGAGTATTGAGAGCGATTTTCATTTCAGTAAAACTTCACCAGTGGCTAACAACAAAACCTGTAAGAAGAGATGTGTAAATGTATTAATAACCTAATTGAAACCTACAGAGAAATATATTTCAATTTAAGAATTGACTCGGTTTTAGTCAATTCTGGATGTTATAAGATATTTGTAAGAGCCTAAAAATGGAAAGTTTTATCGCCTTGTATTCTTTTCTTTTTCATTATATAAGTTTAAACGAATACTTCTTTAGGAGTTAGACCTTCTAGAATATTTATCTTTCTCTGGTTTTCTTTATTAGAATACTTTTCTAGTATATATTATGATGGCTAACCCACTTTAAGTAATTTGACAAAGTCCTAAAGTTTGTGAGTTTGTAATGCCGGCCGGGCCCGAAGCTCAGCTTCGGCGACCAATCCAAGAAAATTCAAATGAAAGGGAAACTTCTAACGGCCGAATTACTTATTTATTACTTCGAAAGCGGTTAAAATTAAATTAATTTGTCGTTTGTTTGATGGATTCTTAGTAATTTTAACACTAACTTTTTAATTAGTAATTGTTGTTAAAAACTAATTAAAAGTACAAAATAAATTATTCTGATTTTTTTTGCTTTCAGTTTCGGCATTATTATATCTTCTTTGTCTTAACTATAGAATTATCTAATTCGAAGTTAAAGGCAAAACATTTATTTAAACTTAACCATAAACCATCAGGCTGTTCGTTAGTGAAGCTCGAATGCTCGTTTTAAATTGTAGATTTGAATGGAATATACGAGAATGAACCCCATCGATACTCTTAGAATAATATACTACAACATCCTCATTATAATAGAGAAAACAAAGGAATAGAATAAGTCACTATACCTAGTTTTGAAAACAAATCATTTATCTTTGTTATTCGAAGGTTTGCTAAAGAAAATGAATAAAGGCGGTACTTTCTGATATCCATTAAGTTTCCAATCCTTAGAGCCACTATAAAACTGACTGACTGTTTTATTATGACAATTTCAGGTATACATCAGTGAAATATCAGTCCCGGACATCCGCGGCTGCCTCAGCGCTGTGCTCAAGATAGTCGGCCATCTTGGCGTCCTATTCAGTTTCACCATCGGTGCCTACCTTGACTGGCAACAGTTAGCACTTTGTATATCAGCAGCTCCTTTACTTCTCTTCTGCACCGTTCTGTACATACCTGAGACACCAAGCTACCTCGTCCTCACTGGGAAAGATGAAGAAGCTTACAAAAGCCTCCTTTGGTTACGTGGACCCAACTCCGACGTAGCCCAGGAGCTGGCCACGATCCGCACGAACGTCCTCGCAAGTAAGAACTTTAGCCAACGACAGAGTCAGATGTCAGGAAGTCAACTTATCAACTCCTTGGATGTAAGGACCATGAACCGGCTCCTAGGACCAATTCTAGTGACATGCGGACTTATGATGTTTCAAAGATTTTCTGGAGCTCACGCGTTTTCGTTTTACGCTGTTCCAATATTTAGGAAGACTTTCGGTGGAATGAACCCTCATGGAGCCGCCATCGCTGTGTCCTTCGTCCAGCTCCTCGCGTCGTGTTTGTCCGGATTGCTTATTGACACTGTGGGTCGTCTTCCTCTTTTGATAGTCAGTTCAGTTTTGATGTCAATGGCGCTCGCAGGGTTCGGGAGTTACGCTTACTATGAAGAGGTTCACCGTAATCAGAGAATCCAGAATGTAATGTTTCACCAGACTATAGGACAAAATGATTGGATTCCGTTGCTTTGTGTTCTAGTTTTTACGATTGCATTTTCTTTGGGTATGAGTCCTATATCGTGGTTGTTGATCGGAGAGCTGTTCCCATTGGAGTACAGGGCTTTTGGCAGCGCGATGGCGACTGCATTCAGCTACCTCTGTGCATTTGTCGGCGTTAAGACCTTCGTAGATTTTCAGCAGACTCTAGGGTTGCACGGCGCATTTTGGCTATACGCTTCTATAAGTGTGGGAGGTCTATGTTTCGTGGTCTGCTGCGTCCCTGAAACTAAAGGCAAGGACTTAGACGAGATGGACCCTAATTACGTTCAAAGTTTGTCGCCGAAAAGGTAAAAAGTTTAGAGCATTTCGTATTTACTTGAAGGCCTTTGGTTTAGACGTAGATAATTTAGAGAAGGTTTAAGGAAAAGTTTTTCGGGACAGAACTATGTTCGAAGTAATGGGCAAGACAGTGTGCTGCGTGTTTTTATTGGTTGATTATTGAGTGGTGTCTCAAATGCTCTTAAGAACACCTCGTATTGTCTTTATAATCATTTGTTTGATATAAGATCTTCTCCATGTTATGAATATTGTAGATTAGAAATAGTTCCCCGTATTTAAAGTGGCTTAAAGATTGCAAAGTTTTCAAGTAAATGCGAACGTTCAAAAACATTAATTGTACGTAGGAACAAAATTATATCGAATCCACCGCGAAATTTTGGCTGTGCTTTTAAAACATTTTTTAAATAAATGAAAATTACAAATACGCCACGTAATTTTATGGTGGGCGATATTAATCTTTAGAAAAATTAGTAAAAATAAATAATAATATTAATAATGTACTCGCATATCCTTACACCCATATCTGAATAGTTTCAGTTAAACTTAGTTTGTTTAAGATTGCAGTGGTCCATACTTTACCTCTCTAACTCTCCCTAGAGATATATTACATAGAAAAAAATATAATTATATTTCCCAAATTCTCAAGAATAGCGAAAGTATCTATCTTACTTAACTATACTGGTTAATATTTTATCGAGCTTTCCTATCTTAACTACGACAATAAATTAAGACAATAAATAATTATTAATGAAAAAATAATTAGTCTAGAGTCGGTTTGAGTATCACTGAATGATAAATATTTGAATGAAATTTAGAAAGAATGCAGTGACTGTAGACATTTATTATTAAAAGAATATTAATTATTCTAAAAAATAAAAATTATTTAACAAAATTCGTTATACATTTTGACGACGAACGTTTTTGGCGTATTAATATAAATTATATTTTTTGTTAAATACAATGAAATGGGCATAAAATAAAAAAAAGATATTTATGTTTCGTAGTTTATGACATGCAAAATGAAAAAATAATTATTGTCTACAAAATATTTTTATTTATCTAAATTAACATTTTTATGGGAACAATGTTGTTATTATTTTGTTAGCGTAACAATGATCTTAACTTATGAACTACTTATGGTGTTTTAGTCGTAGACTTTGCTATATTTTACTTATTAAAGCTGTGCCTAATTACTAAATAATTATTCTGAAACAATCACAGTTCCTTTAGATTTTTGTTAGTCCAGGCCAATCCTTTGAAAATAATATATTTGAATGTTTAGTCATTCTTATATGTAGATAACCGTTTAATTTATGGGAATAATCACTATCATGATAATCTACGATTATAAAATAATAAAAATTAAAATACAGTAACAGACAAATTCTCAAAATTACTAAAATCTATTAAACTTATTTACAAAGTGAGTGTTCAGATTATAATTTTAATTTATTATTAATTATTAATTATTTATGAAAAAAAAAATTTATGACACAGATACTATCTAAATACCTATTATTACAGAAATGCTACGGTCAAACACAATAATGATTTATTTATGAAACAGAAGGAAAATTTAAAGAGTACCTATGTATTTTTCCTTGTTAACTCTACTTCTTCTAATATATTGTCCACTTAGATTGTTGCCTTCACTAGAATATACCAGCTATATATCTTTATCTCTTTCATTAAGTTATATATTTACTGAGTTTATATAATGTTACAAGTTAATGTTAAATTTATTTACCAAACGATTTCATTTTTGGATGATCCTAAATGAATATTTTTTGTTTTTTGTGTACATAATAAGTATATTATGTTTGTAAAAGCTGAATTTGTTACTGTTAAAAAACTCTTATGTAAGTAATTTATTATAATTGTTTATATAGTTATATATTCAAATCTAATTCTAATTATAAATCATTATTCATTAATTAGAAGGCCTAAACCCCGCAGTAAAACGAAAATGTAATAAAAATAAATTATTATTCAATTATTTGCAAATAATTTCTCTAGAGTATATTATTCATGAATAAATAACGATCACAATTATTATTATTATTATTGTGTATAATAAAAAAAATCATAATCACACGGATTATTAATAGACAAATTTAATAGGTTGTGAATTTATACATTTTCTAGATTTTTTATAATATTAAAAAATGAAATATGTATTAAAAAAATAATAGCGTCGCTTCGTATTATGTAAGTTCCCTTCTAATTACAGCTTGCTTGCATTAGGTGTGCAGTAATTATGTATGTATGGGTGCCATCTTGTGTGTAATTATGACATTTTAATAATATATTACAAGCAATTCGAATTGAAGGAAACCGTTATAAATGTAACACCATCTTATATTAGAAATAATTATGTACTACAAAAAAATATTTTTGTTTGTTCTATTAATTAGTTTAGGAAACAATTAATTTTGTTGGTATTTAGTTGAAAATTTGTTTTTATTAATTCTTGTAAGGTCGACGTGAGTTGTGTGGTTTGCATTATAATGAATATTTAGAATTAAGGCTTAGCCTTTTAGCTACGTGATGTGGTAGTCAAGTGTGCCTGTTTTAGATTCTATTCTGTTTTATTAAACAACGACTCTAAGGACCAAATTAATAGCAAGCTAAGAAGACGACTGGATTCTATTATGTCGTCCAAAAATTAAAATAAAATTAAAAGCGGGCTCAAGTTAAAATTAAGTTTGAATGAACAAGGAAAAAAATATTGCATCAAACTTATTTCATATTATAATGAACGACAAGGACCAAGCAGTTGCCAGTAGCAAGAAAATTGGTCCTTTTTTTGACGAGAATAAACCTTCAGTACCAGGCTCTAAGATAAAAATGAGGAAGGGTAGGCTAGTAATTATTAATTATGGATTAAGTGTGGGAGAGTCAAGCTTGGGCACGAATGGGTCGGCTCGACCGGAATGATACCACTGCCTCACAGAAAACCGGCTTGAAACAACCACAGCGTTGTGTTTCGCCGTGTAAGTGCGTTTGCCTAAATCCTAATATCAATCCTAAATATTTGGAGCTTAGGGATTGGGGAGATCCTAAATCTCCCCAATCCCTAAGCTCCAAAAGATCAGCAACGCACTCGTAACTCCTCTGTTGTTGCGGGTGTCCATGGGCGGCGCTGATTGCTTACCATCAAGTAATCCGTCTGCTCGTTTGCCAACCTATCACATAAAAAAGCACCTATCGGGGTCACGTAAGACATATTGCCCTCTACATCTTCTCCTTAGAAAAAAATTTGGTCCTTAGAGTCGAGGGTGTAAAATGTGAGCATTGTGTCTGGGTCCTTATGAAACATATTGTATTACGCACCGACCTCAACAAATGAATGTATAATCAATATTAAATTATGTTATTAACAATATTACATAATTATGGTGGGAAATACAAGTTTGTAATTTTAAGTTAAGGATGTATGTATTGAATATCCTTAAGAAACGTGTTATTTTGTACGTTAAGAATTTTCTAATATTAATTGATGCTAGCAGATTATTCAACCCTACTAACATAGCAATGAACTGTTTACACACAGTGTAACATCATTATGATCATTGATATTATAAGTAAAAAGGTGTAGATAGGTTACAAGCGCTCAGCAAGTGATACATTAAAATGTGGCTAACTAGCCACACTTTATCATATTTGTCTCTTTTTCACTCGCGATTATTGAATCATGCCATCCCACTTTAATGTGTATCATACGATTTATTCATGTGTGCATAAGTGTGCAGTTTTTGAAAATCGAATGTTGTTTATGTAACCTATCTATATATACCATTTTACTTACTTACTTATAATATAATTGATTTTGATGCGTTTTTAATTTTAAATTAAACATACTCACTTGCAAGTCCTCTGGTGTTATGATATCTATGATCCATGGGCGGCACCGATTGCTTACCATCAGGAAACTGTTTGGAGTCATAAAAAGAGCTATTTAAATACCGAAATGGTCAACCAAAAGGATATATAATGCAGCGCACTCAATTATTACTACCTACATATATACTCTCGTAACTGTTCAACGAGGCAGCTTGACTTGTTTCAAGCAGCTACAGGGCTCATAGTCATAAACAAGAACTTTAATTTACGAGTACGGCACATCGTTATTAAAAGTCTTATTGTCATAGGAATATTAAGGTTTACTAACTTTTATTTCCCAGCGTAGCAAAGCTGATTAAATCATGAATTTGTACGTACAGTAACCAGCAAGTCTACCTACCCCATTTTGTATTTTTTATTCGATATTCAACTTTAAGTTATGATTAAAATAAAGACGAAAATTCAACAGAAGGTGTAGGTTGATTGGTTGGCGTTTTTACACAAAAATAATATATAAATAGTATGAATGTTTGGCTCACACAACCACTTCGTAGAATAAGATAGAAGGCTTTAACTAGCTTAGTGTCTCCATAAAAGACTTTAGATTGTACAAAAAAATAACAAATAACTTATAAATTAACATAAAAGAACTACTTTTCCTTACGATTATTGTTATAATTTAAGTTCTTTCTCTATTCTAAGCAACGAACTTCCGTGACGACAATAATACCTATTTGGAAATTTGACAATAATAATTATAAGGACTCGACGATAGATGGCGTTGTTTGCAATTTTGTGTCTTGAGTCAGTTATTAGTCTAGTTAGTTAATGATTTTAAATGCCTATATAAAGTATTCATCTACATAGTTTTTTATTCTGTTTTCTTACTTATTTATAGTCTTTATGTAACCTGTCCAAACAGCGCCATCTGGAAAAAAAAACGGTACCAAGATGAAGAAACAAAGAAAAAATTATATCTATTTGAGTAATTACTATAGAAATGTTTGACAATAAACTATTTCAAGTTATTTTTTAAGGGACGCGTACACTTTAATTAGCAACTACTTACAATGGAGAAATAAAGACAACAATCCCAAAGTATCAAACTCCTTAAGTTTTAAATTTTAAACTTTAACACAAAGCTGTGTGGTTGAGTATCCATTGA